CCCAACACACAAATGCACACAAAAGAATGAGGCAATAAAAGAAGTAGGAGAAAACATCAAAGAAACTCATATTAGACAATTAGAAATAAGTAATATACTATATGAAACAAAAACAAAAGTCAGAAAAATCCAGAACCTAAATGGTAGAATTAAAAATATAAAAAGAATGGATAAAGACAACAAGGTACCACAAGGAGATAAAGATGAATAGTAGGGAAGAAAAGATTACAGGTTGAGTTTAGAAGGTACAGTGTCTGAATAACAGATAGTTCAGGAAAAAAACAGAGAAAAGAAGAGGACATTCTCAAAATACTTCCAAAAATTCAGACTGGATGCTGTGAGTCCACAAATGAAACACTACTGTGCCCAGCACTAACAATGGATAAAAGACCTGTATCAAGGGGCAGCAGGGAGAGTCTTACAAGAAGGGGGATTAGAAAAAGACTGCAGTTTCCAAGAGGGAAGGAAAACAGGTGAGGCATCCAAAAGACATGGGACTTCTTGAGAATACTACTGAAAACAGGAACACTATGGGGCAATACTTTCACAGTTTGGAGGCAGAGGTGAGTGCACCATTCTAGATTGCTATCTCTGGAGAGACTATTCCCCAACCTTGAAGGTAAAAATAAAGGGGTTTTCAAGGCACATAACTTAAAACGCTTTCACTCCAGGAAAAGAGACGAGCAGAGGATGTCCTGGAGATGGAGGTCCCAGAGTGATACTTCTGCACCAGGTGAGTGAGGCTACTCTAGATGGGCCAGTGAGATGTAGACTGCCAGAAGAGATTTCCAGAATAATAAAGGGCTGACATATTGCCAAAAGTGTTCACATTCCTTTGCAGTCCACACAGTTTTAGAGATGAATCCAGAATGAATTAGTGACAGGCAAATGAGGTACATACATGCTTTTAGCAAACCAAAATGAAGAAAATTATTAATTTTGACTAAAAATGAGAATTTATAGCTCTTTGGCTTTTAAAATATATACACACAATGCAGTGGTTCTCAACCTTCCTAATGCTGAGACATTTTAATACAGTTCCTCATGTTGTAGTGACTCCAACCACAAATTTACTTTCATTGCTAATTCCTAACTGTAATTCTGGAATCATAATGTAAATATCTGTGTTTTCAGATGGTTATAGGTGACTCCTGTGAAAGGGGTCATGACTCACAGGATGAACACCACTGATATAATGACTAAATTACAATACAGTAATATGTAATGCAAATATATTTTGAGCACAACAGTAGCAGAGTACACATTTTAAACCCAACTGTGTTCTCATAGAAATGTCTTGCAGATTATGTCATATCAACACCATAAACAAACTTCCTATTTTTCCATAATATACCATTTCACCAAAACCCCAGACTTGTGGACGTAGGAAAGTAAAAACCCGCAAGTATATGCATTGGGGTACTGTTGTGCAGAGGTAAAGTTCAGGGTAACAATTTTGCTTCATTGAGACAGCTTCACCAGCACTGGTAAAGGGCACCAAACCACCCCACATACTCATGAGCACTACATACTACAAAACCATCTTTGCTGTCTGCAACTCATGTAAAAACACATGTCATGTTTTACCCTTATGCGCATGTACTTAAAATTACTTTTCTTGTTACCCAATTTCTACAAAAATCTCTCCCCATTCAGATCCCTTCTCATTAGCATGTGTTCCTCTTTTCCTCACAAAGCAGTCAAAATTATCCTTGTAAGATCAATTTCATAGTAACCCTTTTATATTCTACAAATATTGCAAACTTACATGCATAAAGTTACAATTATTGGTATGTTCTTATTTTTGAGATGTCAAATATTTATTATAATATAAAGACAATTAATTGCAAAGATGATATGTCATAGGATATGACATGTGACACTGCAGGATAAGTCATTATTTCATGAGCTGCTAAGAAAGTAAAAACGCTGCTCATAAAAGAAAATATAATACTTTATTACTTATGATTTTTATTTTACTTACTGGATATTACATGATTCACAGTTTTATATCTCCTGGGAATGCAAGCACAATACAGTTTAAAAAAGTGTTTATTTACTGATAGCAGAAGTGGGATGAGGTGTGGTGATACACACATAAATTTCAACTCAGGAGGCTGAGGTCAGAAGACTGCTTGAGTCAAGGAATTTGTATCCATCTGTGGTGGTTTGTCAGAAAATGGCCCCCAAAGGGAGTAGCACTATTAGGAAGTGTGGCCTTGTTGGGGTAGGTGTGGCCTTGTTGAAGGAAGTGTGTCACTGTGGAGGTGGGCTTACAGGTCTCACATATGCTCAAGCCACACCCAGTGAGACAGAACACTTCTTATTGCCTTTTGATTGAGATGTAGCCAGCACCACGTAAAAGGGAATAGCATTAGGAAGTGTGGCCTTGTTGGAATAGGTGTGGTCTTTCTGAAGGAAGTGTGTCATTGTGGAGGTGGGCTTTGAGGCTTCATATATGCTCAAGCCATGTCCAGTGAGACAGACCACTTACTGTTATCTGCAAGTCAAGATGTAGAAAACTCAGCTACTTTGCCTGCATGCCACCATATCATATGATAATGGACTAAACCTCTGAAAATGTAAGCCACCCTACATAATTTTCCTTTATAAGAGTTGCAGTGGTCATGGTGTCTCTTCACTGCAATAAAAACCCTAACTAAGACACCACCCTTGGCTACAAAGTGAGATTATTTAATTAAACTAAAATCAATCCAAACTGAAACAGTAGAGAAAGATAACTAATACACTTTTAAAATGTAATTTCTAGTTGTTCTCTTAACAAGAAAACTCCTATAAAGTAACAACACTAGTAACATTGGCTACTATAGTTTTGGCTTTATTTTAAGCCACATAAATGATTCATTCTGTGAAATAAATTAGACACTCCATTAAGTCACATATAAACTTTCTGAAATCTTTCTATGAAACAGGCATCTCTCTGAAACACTCTAAGAAAGGTTCCAAGACTCTGCAGTTCACTTATCTACTGCGGTATTCATGAGTCCAGTGTGATGGCATGTAATACTATGGAAGTGGGCTTAAGATCAATGGTAACCCATAAAGATTTCTCAAGTTAGGAAGTGATATTTTCCAAAAGAAATTAGTTCACTGATATACACAATAGCAAACCACAGTGTTTCTTGGTTCAAAAGAGGTACATTTATTTTAAGATAACATAACAATGTAAGACATGTAGCTTTACAATTAAGATTTATATTAACAAGCAGACTTTAAGCTAAAACAATTTATTATACACTATTCTGAGAGGTACTGAATATCATCATGTAGAATTTCTTTAAGAAGCACAACACTAAAATTTTTTGTAGAGTTTAATGTTTGTGAAATTTGTATAATTTGTAGAGGGAAATTTTGAAGCTAACATATGAGTATTTAGTGCATTATTTGCAAAACATTCAAAATATTTCAGCTGATATAATTAATACTCCAGTGAGATATTTTTACCTCCATTTTATAGACAAAAAAGATTTAGAGTGATACAGAGGGAGTCATTGTAATTCACTATTCTCTTACCATATTAATTCATCAGAATATTTTATTTATTTTCATTTTTATACTATCTTGTCACCTTACAAACAGACCCACTCACAATAAAACAATAAAGAATAGTGACTGTGCTTATATTATGGGAGTTACTTTCTTGGGACAATGACAAGACTTATAAAGGATCTTTAAATAGGTTATTTAATTTTAATCCACATTAACAAGGTTTCCATTTATATGTGATAATATAACTTATAGCCAAAGATTAATTTGTATTTTTTCAATTATTTTATATTCCATGTACTACTGAGAACATTCCAGGCAAAGGGATAAATGAGCAGCTAGGCATCTCTATCTAGACATGACATGACTAAAATTTCAAAGCAGGTGAAATTAAATAAGTATACTATACTGTATTTGCACATGTATATTTCTATATTAGTGCAATAAATAATATGAGACAAAGAATGTGGAAAAGTCTAAAAAACACAAAACAATACTATTAACACCAAAATAACAATAATTTTATAAATAAGCTGATGCAGATCAATTTCACATTCAATAACTTAGAAAAATAAAGCCAGTGTTTCCTATTTTCATATGCAAAAGCAAAGTAATGGTTGGAGTGTATGAAATTTACATGAAATATGTCTTATGGAAGAGGATAAATGAATCTATTAATTTTCATATATTAGATTAATGACATATAATACATGCAATATATAAATATATTAACTTAAAGTCATTGCTTTGTTTTATAATATCCTTGTATAAACAAACCAATTTTATCAGGTAGCCAAAGTTGTATTAATATTCTAAAATTCTTTTTCAATGTGAAAATCTAGGGTTTCTTTTTCCTCTTTCCTTCTTTCTTTCTTTCTTTCTTTCTTTCTTTTTTTCTTTCTTTCTTTCTTTCTTTCTTTCTTTAAATTTGCAGTGTTGGGAATTAAATCTGAGCCCTCCAACAAGGTAGGCAAGCCCTCTGCCACTGAGTTACTTATTTTCCCAGCATTTTTATTTTTGGCAGGATTCTTCTAAGTTGCCCAAGTGCCTGGAGCTTGTATCACAGCCCAGGCAGGCCTTGAGTTGTGACCTTTGGGGCCAGTCTCTCAAGTGAATAGAAAGTTTTATTTTCTCTTAAAACATGTTTCAATATAATGAATTGTATGTAAATGGCTTATCAACTACTGGCTGTTTGGATCAATTTTTCATGTGGTCCTTTAGCAAGAAACAAAAAATTATCTTCTACCTATTAAATATACATCAAACTTCTAAACCATTTATATTAGTTTTGATGCTATAGACATATTTTTAACAATATCCAATATGTTACTAATATTATTTCCATATCGTCTGCTCACAATTAGGAGCACCACCACGTGTCCTCCGTGGGAATTACTACTACCCCTGTCCTGGCTTCTAACATCAGCATGTGATCACCATGTTTTCTTACAAAAAAAAAAAAAAAAAAAAAAAAAAAAAAACTTTTTAAAAAAAAAAAATAAATTACTTCTTAAATAAAATACCTGAAATTCTGTTGGCTTTGGTACAAAAACAAAACAAAATACACAAAAACAGCAAAAACAAACGAAATTTTACACAAATCCAACAGTGTATATTACATAAGTACTTTTAAAAGTTGAAAGTACAATGTAAACCATCATATTATTTTGTAAATTTTCACTTGTCTTCTGAAATTACTTCGGTGTAATTAAATACAAGGTAAATAACAGGGACTTACTAACAAATCTAAGGGCCCTAAGACAAATTGGAAGCAATATTCATTGTCTGAAAACAGGTACACAGTCCAAACCAGAAGAAAATGTGTTTCTGTTTTTAAGTCATCTAAATTCTAGGGCTCATGAATTATTTTGAAATAAAGGACATTTCTAATAAATAAATAATCTAAATACATTCTCAGATAGTCATCGGGACTACCCATATACTTGTGAAGGGAATGAAAAAGTTCAGAATTCAGTCAATCACTGTGAAAGCAGTAAGTTTTCTCTTGGTGGTTCTAGGGATCAAACCCCAGGCTAATTAGAAGATTCAATTTTCCTCTGTTTTACATGGATGAACTCAGTTCAAGGAAAAAATGTAATTTCATAGTATTTCACCTTTCCCTTTATTTTCTGTATGTTCTGACTTCACACTTGGATCCACGCTCAGAAACTTGTTTCATGCTTGTCACATAGATCATAATCCTTCCATCTTTGTTTTAGGAGTATCTAGTTAAAAAAAATGCCAAAGCAATATTTATATAACTAAAGCTAATGACATTAATCAAAATTTTTACAAAAATTATATGAAGCAGTCAGGTATCTAATCAAAAACCATCCATATGAAATATAATAATTAACTATTTAAAAAACACTTTAAAAGTTCATAGCTTTTAAAAAACTGTATTTATCTGTTTACTGGTATTTGAATGTGCCACGATGTGTAAGTGGGAGTCCATTATCATTCCTCCATCATGTGGATTCAAGTCATCAGGCTTCGGGCATTCATTATTTCATTGGCCCAAGTTCATGTTTTGCTAAGAAACTTCTTTAGTACTTGGTTCCAGGAAGGCATAGATTTAGGTAATCATTTTGAACTGTGGTTCTATGCACTAATACAAATATCATTAGGGTACATGTGATGCTATTCAAGTAGGATGGGAACATCATACACAGGAATGTATAAATGTGACAGTACTAATTTTTCAGTGCATTGTTCTTGTTTCATAGGGCAGTATACAATGTCTTACAATAGAAGTATGGAAAACCCTAGGTAGCAAGATCACAATAGTTATCTTAACAGAAAAATAAGCCTGCTCGTCTCTCAATGTCTTGGACCACTGCTGCCCAAAGTGGAGTACATATAATACTAGGTCTTCAAAAATACTTCACAAAACACTTATGGTTGCAGTCTCTTTATAGAAAGACAAAAACAAATAGTAGCATAGTGAGAGCTGATAGTTTTTTTTTTTTTTTTTTTTACATTTCTCCAAGTTGACAAAGGCTGATGGTTGGTTAATGTTGACAACTTGACAACACCTGAAATCAATCGCCCAGGAGACAAGCCTCTGGACTTGGTTACGGGGAGCTGTATGTATTACACAGTCAGTTGGGATGATTCACCACTCTGACAGGGATTTTAAGCTGTGTAAATGGGGAAAGGGCAGTAAGCAGTATGCAATCACTGCTCTAGGCTTTCCCACAGTGGATGAGGTGTGACCAGCAGTTTCATGCTCCTGCTGCCTTCCCGACAGGATGGACTGAGTATCATAGACTGTGAGCCAGAGCCACAGGAAATATAAAGACACAAAGCAACTTCTTTTTTTCTTCTTAAAGACTGTTTACCAGCACCATGAGGAGCCACTTTGGGAAACAAGGGCTTCAAGCTTGATGAAAATAGTAAGAAATACACCTAAGAACATACACTCACTCCTAAATGAGCATCGAAACCTCCACCATGGGAAAGTAACATGACTGACCAAACTTATACAGTTATTGATGGTTAAAAAAAAAATAATCTTCTTTCTGGAGATTAACAAGTTTGAGATATTGCTTTGGTTCAAACCAAAACAGGACAGACTTCCTGAATTACTTAGGGGGACAGCTGTCTGAAAGTAGAAGCTGGGAGGATCATGACTTCAAGACCACAAAAACCTAAGGGATGTGAACCAGTGGTAGAGCAGCTGCCTTGAATGCCCAAGCCCCTAGGTTTGATTCTTAGCAATGCAAAAAAGGGTGAGAAATTTATCTATGTGTGAGAAATAAAATAAGAACAAAGCTTAGTATAGTGCCAGACACCTAGATGAATTCTTTAATAAAAGTAAAGCTGTCATTCTGTGGCAACAATTTAAAACCATGCTCTTGGAAAAGAGTAACACAAACTCCCTAGGTGCTAAAGATCTTCTATGACATAGCACAGCTGAGATTTATTTTATTGTACCTGCACAGGTGCAGAGCTGTACACTTAGTGGTTTGGACCTGGTATGTAGCTGAGGATGACCCTGGATTTCTGACTCTCCTGCTTCTACCTTCAATGCTGGAAGAAGGGGCATGCACCACTACATCTGGTTTATGTGGTTCTGGAGATCAAACCCAGGGGCTCAGGCATGCCAGGTGACCACTCAACCAACCTAGCTATGTCCTCAGCTCCTGAATATACAGTTTTTTAAACCAGGATACTCTCATTGTCTCCACTGTAGGTTATAATTACATTTCTTTCAGCTATTTTCTTCTCTTATGAAACATGTACTCTACCATTGAGCTCTAACCCTAAGCTCTTCCCAGCTATTGTTTAGATGTAATAAAAATATGTCTATTCTTACTTATTATTGGAAAAGCAGACTAAACCTAAGTTAACATACTTATCTGCTATGAAGTTCTTTTTTCAGGCAGGATTTGAAGGTCGGATACTTCTGGACTGTTTTATAACCCTGTGGAATAAAGGATTACAAATGTCCAAATGTATGTGAGGGAGATCCAATATAATTTAATTTCTATGTTGAATCTATAAGCCAAACTTATGAACACCAAGCAGGATGCTGGTTTCCAGAGGCTGGGAGGATTTGCAGACACAGGAAGAAGTGAAGCATAGGTATAAATTCCAGTCACACAGGAAGAAAGTACTTCCAATATCACTTGCACAGAATGGTGACCAGAGCCAATAACCATGTGCATTTAAAAACTGCTTAGAATAGATTTAAATGCCTCACACTACAAAGAAGTATGAGGTTATATCAATTAGATTAAGATAATTACTCCACCATGTACTCATGTAACAAGTGTGCAGATCCTAGTAAAACACTAAGGGAGCACAAGTACACACAGAATGGTCAACAGAAGTGTGGCTCAGGGTGCTTAGAGGGAAAACTGTGCCCAAGGCTTTCGTATGAACAGTGTGGTTCACACTAAATTAAACCCTGTTATTTTTGAGAAGAAATAAATGGATTTCTATGTACAGCCTTACAAGTGTCTGTAGCTACATGTGAAATGTTAACAAGCTACCACTAGGTGGCACTTAAGTACAATAGCATCTTTTCCCAGACAGCTCAGGCTGAAAGTCATAAACAAATCTTTGAATTACATTGCCTAAAATGATAATATTTTTTCTATATATGGATTTTTCTACTTCAAATGTTTATCCCTGACACAGAAAGAAGACTACAGAAGCTGATAATTTTAAAAGGATTTTTTCCTCTTCTATTTCTGGAATGTCCATTAAGTATGTAAGCTGTGCAAACATTTATTAAGCCATATTATGGGGTTGAAATTTAAAAAAGTGATTTTTAGAAAAGGAAAGATTATCTCCTATTACTTTTTAGTATGTCAATGGGAAAAATAGTTCAGGAAAAAATTATTTTGAGTTTATTTTATACATAGGAATGTATAGGAATGTGACTTAAGAGCCTCAGTTCCCTAAAGAAAACATCTAATGTGCAACAAGGAACAGGGATGTTTCCATGTTTACAACCAAGTCTGAAAGCCAATGAGACGATCACATTAAAAACAACAACAACAATAACAACAACAACAAATGGCAATACCCTCCCCACAAATCAGCAAAAAAAACATTACCCTAACTGAATTCAAAAATGGGCAGTGGTGGCACATGCCTTTAATCCCAGCACTCAGGAGGCAGAGGCAGGTACATCTCTATGAGTTCAGGGCCAGCCTGGTCTATAGAATGAGTTCCGGAACAACCAAGGCTACCTAGAGAAACTGTCTCGAGCCCCCCCCCAAAAAAATCCCAAACCCCAGTCTCCCCAAAAAACCCCAACCCAAACCAAACAACCCCTAAAAAAACCTGAAAAAAGAATTAAAAATCAAATTTATTATACATATGTATTTTTAAAATAATCTTTTATCACCTTGCATTGTTTTTGAAAGTAGGTAAGGCCTACATAACCTTAGTTTTCTAAACAATCATTTCATGTTTATAACCTTAAAATTTTACATAATTTTTTTTGAACTTGGGTTTCAAAGGATTATCAAAAGGATTATCAATAGGCTTGAAATCTGCAGACTTACCTGGAATCCTCTATGGAGTCTGTCTTTCATAATTCCAATAAACTCTTTATAACTTAATTGGTCATCTTTGTCAACATCAAAAATCTTGAATACAGTGTTCACCAAATGTGGTGAAAGTTTCAGTCCAGTAGCTACATAGACAGCACGTTTAAATTCATCTAGATAAATGTCACATACAAAAAAGAAAAAGCAGTTTCTTTTTTAGTATATGATGCTAATTACTACAAAGATTGTAAATTTTTTTTTTTGTAAACATGAGCCATGATGGTAGATAGCACATGATTTTCATTAAATATGCTGTCTTTTAGGGAAAAAGAAGACACTAGTTTTAATGAAAAGAACAGCAGTGACTCTATTGGATTAATAATACATTCTCAATCAGTGAATGTTGAATGAGCAGCTACTGTCAGCAAGAGACACTTTAGAAGTTATTAAGGTAAATAAATTCCCAAGAAACAGTTCAGATGGGAGACAAGATTGGCAGACATAACCATTATACAGTATCCCACATAACATTCCGGAAAAGTGCTCTGAGAATCTGGAGATGAGTGATTAATTCTTTGTACAGTGCGGATGAGGGAGGAGGGAGAGAAGGGCAGCAATGACTTCAAAAGGCTGTGGTTACGTGTGGAGCTAAGCCCCAAAGGATAGAAGGTTTAGCAGTGGATATGAGAGAAATGACAGATGAGAGAACCTGAAGAAAAGTGTGCTGTGAGGGAGAAGACCACAGAGTATGTTGACAAAGGGCAGTCTTGGTGAGGTAGAACAAAGAGGACAGAGGACCTGGGGAAGTGTTGGATAGAAGGTGAGGTCAGGGACCTGTACACTCTCCCAACAGGCATTTGGGAAACTTGAACAGTTTTTCAGCAAAGGAAAAAGATATTATTCCAAACATTTGAAATAGTAACACAATAAAATTTTTCCTATTTTCTAGTTCCAGAAAATAATAAGGTAATTTTCTGCTCTGAACCAAATAAACGGATACTAATTTCTTTTTAAAGGATATATTATTCCAGTAAGATATGATTATAAAAATACATTTATGTCATATGTGATAAAAATATTTATATCATATACATCATTTGTGGAGACATATATATATATAAAATTTGTGATAATATATATCATCATTTGTGGATACATGCTTTCCAATGTTTGAGCATATAGCTTAGAAAAAGAATGAAATATAAAAAAATTTTCAGGTTTTTCTTATTCAGTGAATAAAATGAGGCTATACAACAGACATAATATGTGGGTGTTGAGTGCTTTTGAAGCTGGGGGTTTGAATCCAGGCCCTCATAGTTCAATGCTCCTACCCTTTCTATGGTTTTCAGAGAAGTAATTATCATCAATATTTGGTGGCTGTAGTTTGGCTTTTCCCTAGAATTTGAGAATAACAACTCAAGACTACACTTTGAGGTCTAACCTATTAGATTCGGCAGAGGCAGTTAAAATTGCCTTAAAAGTACAATCATACCCTACATAGCAAGAAGTTTTAATAAGGACATGGTTAGAAAGAAGAGAATCCTAGAAAAAGGGTTTGGCTTTTTAGTCAACCCATGAGCAAAGAGTGAGGGAGTCCTGAAGATCCCAGTATTTGAAGTTATCTGACAGATGTGTTTCTTTGTAATTTAAAAAAAGATAATCAATTTTATATCAGTCTCAAAAATTGGTTAATGTAAGTTACTGACTAAGTGGCTGTGCTCATGTATTTCTGGTTTCTGATTAGGCAAAGGTCAGTGAGAATTTCTGCAGGCTGTCATTTCATGTGTTCCCTGATGTTACCAAGTAGCCACAATGTTTCATCTTAGACTCTTTACAATAAACATTATTAGTTTTTCCTCATTATATGAGATTAAAGGCCAAAAACAAACCTAGTAAGAAATCAGCACATTTCCCTAGACTTTGCATACTTTTAAGTTTTGGAACTGATTTCCCACAGAAATTATAAAACCAGACTTTCAGGTAAGCTGACGCATGATCAAACATATCTCACTAGCCTCTTTCCAAAGTCTCTAGGAACAAAGTAGGGATGTCTTGACTTTAAAATTTTGAAGAATGATTTCTTACCTTGTCCTATGGAACGGCTTGCAAAGTTATACATATTGAGCGCTATTGCAAAGTCTTCTAAGTTGTTCAGAAATTGGAAAAATGACCTGAATTCATCAAATGTGATGCCCTATTTTGGGAAAATAAATGTGAAACAATTAGTATTAATAAATGCACTAAATTAATTGCAGCACAGTTAATAGAGGGAAATATTAGGATCTGAAAAATACTTCATTAAGTAAGTACTCCAAGTATATTTGGAAAAATTTCTCTAAACAGTAGGAATCACTCAGACATATTTCTATTGGGTAGCACTACTATTCTGCTAACAGTAAACTGAAGACACTGCCCTGTCAACATCAAGTTTCAAAAAGTGCTTCAATTAAAATGTCTGGAAAAGTTCCAATTATGATAACCCTCTAAACAACATGTCTTAAACTCATAAAAACATATTTGCTTTGCATATTTATCCTTTCACATGATTCAACATCAGGTCATCAATATGTTTATAATGACAATACAAAAACCAAGATGTTGACTAAGCGTCAACTGTCATTGATTGAACTTGTTCAGTCATTCAAATGCAGCCAAGACACCAGGGGGAAGTGCAGTGACTGCAGATGGCACCAAAGACTTTGAAGGACTGTATTCAGAACAACCTGCTTTGGGATGGTTCATAGGTTGCAGTTCTACTATCGGTGTTACTTCAGTTAAATAGGAACATTATTTGAAATAAAAATAATGTATTTTTGGATGTATTTTTGGATGGTTTGGATGTAATCAACAAAATTTAAATAATTGGGAAATACACAGGGAAAAAACAAACAAAATATCAGAGAGCCCACAGTTCCAGCTTCCCAAATCCTGGCTTTGACTACAGGGGTAATCGAAGAGGAGCATTGATAAGGAAGTGCTGGGCATCCAGGGAACTAATGAGGAAGGAAATTTTCCAGACCCTAACTTTAAAATTTAAGCATGGTGACAGCTTTCTGTCACTTCTAGTATCACCATGAAAATTACACCTAAGCTGCCTACTTCTTTTGGTCTACCCAGTTCTATCAGATTTGACACGTACCCAATTCTTCCTTCTCACCAGCTACTATTTTCCTGGTTTTTTTTTTTTTTTTATGAAATGTCAAAGTATTTTCTCAAATAAACTAAGCTTGTTCTGTTCCCAGGCCTTTACCATTTATTGTTCTCCTGTCTAAAATACTCTTCATCTGATTTTTTTAAGTGTGTTTTCTTTTTTATTTAAATTAAAAGCAATCTTATTTTAATACTGATCCCAGTTCCCTCTCCCTCCTGTTCTCCCACTCTCCCCATGCCACTCCCCCATCCAATCTCCAGGGAGGGTGAGGACTCCCATATGGGGGGGGGTCATCAAAGGCTGTCACATTATTTGGGACAGGGCCTTGGCACTCCCCCATATATATAGGCTGAGAGAGTATCCCTCCATAGGGAATGGGCTCCCAAAGTACATGCACTAGGGATAAATACTGCTCCACTGCAAGGGGCTGTTATTCTTTTGTTTAAAAAGAAGAAAAGAGAAATGCTGAGACAGACATTAGACTATAAGTTTATTATAAGGCCCGGCAGAATGGGGAGACTAAGAAGAGGAACAGGAGTAAATGGCTGACCGCCATGGCTGGTCGCCATAGAGAGAGCACATAGGTGAGAGAGAGTAGAAAGGAAGCTGAGAGGAAACAGAGCGGGGAAACAGAGAGAGGGAACAGAGAGAACAGAGAGCGTAAATGGGCAGGGGCCTATCTTTTAAAGGGGTCCTCTGCACCTGCGTGCAGACTTAGTTTCCATGGAACCTTGGGCTGACCAGGGTACTGCCTGTTCCACCAGGTAACAGGGGCAGGCCAGCATAATGCCTGAACCTTTCAGGGGCCCCATAGACTGCCCAGGCCTCCTAACGGACATCTACTTTCAGGAGGCTTGGGTGGGTCCTATGCTGGTTCCCCAGCTGTCAGACTGTTTGCACAGCTCATTACATAGGATAATTCTGAAGAACTCTAACAGCCTGCTGTCTTTTTTCAGTCTCTATATTCTTGGTTCTTTTCACAGCATTTATCTTCACCCAAAAGTATCTCCTTTTGCTTACTTACTTTGTTTTTCTAGTAAAATATATTTCTATTGAAGGAGAATTTGCCTATCTTGTCATTTTATCAGCTGTGCCTGTAATAAGGCCTTTTATTTAATATCTGTGAATGAAAATGAAATTAGTTTGGAAATGGTAAGTGCCATCCAGGTATCAGCTTTTCTTTCTTTTCTGATGCTGGGGAGAAAAAGATGAGTAGTGGATGGAAGGGAAAGATCGAAGTAGAGGACAATAGAAGAGTCACTTGCTTACAGAGTCTGGGGTTTGAGTGGACAAGTGTCCAAAGTCCTTACTTTCTCTTTTCCAAAAGAAATATGCCAATGCCTGCAAGGTTATTATGTGAGGTGATGAAACAACACAGAACAAGCAATCACCATATGATAATAACTGTTGAGATACACCTACAAATTAGGCTTGTGGAAAAGCTGAATTTAACTTCAGATTTTTTATTTTCAAATAATTTTAGATATAAAAATTAACTGTAAGAAAACTATGAAAAGTTTCTATAAAGTCATCTTGCAATTTGACCTTCTGAGTTTGTTTTATAGATTAAAAGTCCTATATAACATTATATAACTTGAACAGCATAATTTGCAATTTTTATTTCAAGGGAATTATCTACTGGTTAGGAAAATCCAGCATAGTAGGTAAAACAGATAAAAATCCTTTTATTAAAAGATAATGTAAAGTAGTGGCTAAATACATCAAGCTTTTTTTTTTTTTTTTGGTTTCCTCATTCCTTAGGGCAGTCTTGAGAATTGTTAAAACTGTCACAGTGTGTCTACTCTAAACAAACTCAAACTATTTGCAAGTTTTCTTGAACAGTTTAACCTGATCCTTCCATAAACAAACAGAAGGCAATAGATCCCAAACATCCCAGGCTTAAAGGGACACTTGAGACAGCAGTTTCTATTTGGTTGCAATGAAGCATTCAAATGCCACTAGATAATGCAACTATTCAAAATGCCTGACACCACAGTGGCTACCAAGCAAATACACAAGGAGATGTCCTGGGTTCTTAACCATTCATGGCATCCAAACTTGTTGAAAAGCCTCACTTCAAATGCAGATAAGATCACTCACTCATCAATGGCATTTTCAAATGACCTCTTATTAGAGGTGCTATACAAATGAACAGAGGGTGACAGAAATAATGTCAATATAAGCTGCCTTACATGTTTTGGTACTAGTCAAAACACCTAACTCACCAGAATTCTTTTGGAAAATAATAATAGTCATAATCTGAAAAAGCAAACAGTCTTCAAGATTTTTCAGTATTTCTAAGAATATTGATCTCTACTTGAATTCAAAATTAGCAGTCCCTAGAATACAGAGGGAAAGAATGAAATATATCCAAAAATAGTTTTTAATTCACAGAGGAGCAAGATTAATAAAACCATTTGATAAGTCTGTACAAAATACCACTTAGTATATAATGTGTTTCAAGATAATGGATGTAACAAAATAAACATAAGGGGTTAAATACCTTTTCTTCAGGTATACTGTAGCGCACATTTTCCAAAAATACCGAAGTATTTTCCACATTAGTATACCGTAGAAGAATGTGGGCAAAATCTTCTTCACTGATAGTATTCATTCCATTAGAGTAGGAAAGAAATTCTATTTCTAGAACTTCTGTTTGTAGGTTGTCCATAAATCTGTGGTAGAATAATGAAAAATAAACAAGATAAATGACCAAACATTTACTATCCTAGAAAAGTTTTATGGAAATAATTTAATTATATAATGGCTCAAAGCTTCACTCTCTGAGAGCAATTACTGCTCAGTGACTGTACTACCTGAACTTACAACTTCTCTCTCACGGCTTGAACCTGCCCGTGTGCAAAATGGTTAACAGGACTTTGTTGGGTAGAAATGATACTAGCCATTATTACTGTGGCTTACTGAGACTGAGGAATTTTCTTCTAAATACACAAGATACAATATTCTGTAAATACTCCTTTTTTTTTTTTATCTTTCAGTAACCTTGTATTGTAACTATAACCAGAGGCAGCAATGGCATGGACACTAAATGGTATATTTTCTGTTAAGATCAGAGTGGCACAGTATCACTGTACTAGATGATTTCCCAAGATCACTTGACTTTAGCAGTCTAATATTTTTCAACAGAAATTTAGCTCACCTATAAAAATCTTCAAAGTTGAGCTCAGCTTTTCCTTTCTTTCCAAAAAAGTGTACCAGCAATGTAGTGTCTGCTACTAAGCTTGTGATGTCATCAGCACGCTTAAAAACATAATGTAAAATTAGCAGTAAAAAACAAAACAAAACAAAACAAAAAAACAAAGCAAAACAGGATACTCAGTATTTCTCCAAGAATTCTATCAAAATATAAATCAAGAGGTGCTGGAGAGATAGATCAGTAAGTAAGAGTACTTGTTGCTCATCCAGAGGACCCAGATTTGGTTCCTAACACTCACGTAGTCGCTCACAAGCACCTACAACTCCAGCTCCAGGGTGTCTAATGCCCTCTTGTCATTTCCTCAGGCACAGGCACAAACATGGTACACATACATACATGCAGGCCAAACACTTTTACATACAAAAATAAAAATATCTAAAAAACCAAGAATGTAAAGATACAAACATTAGAATGAAGACCAAGGGATATATCATGCATGTAACTATAACTAAAGTGGTCAAATTTTAAAAATAGAAATTTGAGCAATACTGATCTTTATTGTTGAAAATATATCTTAAAAATATCCTATCCAAAATCATTATGGACATTGGGTATCTATACTTTATATTGCCTAAAATAGTTTATTTAGTCATCATTTTAGTTATGCTGCTTTATTTAATTAATTAGTTTTTTTTCTTAACAACCTGAAAAATTCGTTCAAAGAGGGATATTATTCCCCCAAAATACTGACCATATGGAGATGACAGAGAATGAACCCTAACTTTCACAAAACTGTTTCCTTTAAACATGTAACAACTGCTTTTTAAAAATGTCACAATGCATTTAGAAAGAGGAACTAGAGTAGTAATTTGTCACTATACATTTAAAAAAAAAAAGCATCATGTAATTTTTTGAGTGGTCAAGAAGTTAATACCGCAGGATCTCCCCTTCTTTACTCAATTTAATAAACTACATTTCAACAAACATATTCCTAATGTGCTTAATTATAGTCCTCACAAAGTCGATTGCTTTATGCAACTTAGAGCTTCATTAGCCTTTCCCTCTTTGTTCCCTTCCTTCTCTACTTTGTCATCAATTCATACCCAATTTATAAATTCTACACAATTCAGGAAATTCAAATGATTACAACTCACAGGAAATGTAAGAAAAATAATCAGTACCACCATTTTCAGTATTAGTAAATAGTCATGCCTGTCCACTGAAGGTGTGTAGCTGAAATAGTACTTATCAGATGTCAAGAAGCAGAATGTTTTTCTAAAACAGATGGGTCTCATGGTAATTACATTTCACTCATCATCTAAAAGGTACATTTTGGTATTAATGTGATTCCTCATTGAAGGGACCAGCTTCCCTTTCGGCAGCCATAACAGCCGAACACGTG